ATATGTCTACTTGTGATTTTTGGTAGGAAACACCTTCCCCTAGTTGGTTATGGCGGTCATAATGGGTTTTCAAAGTGACCACCAGTCAAAATTTATCTTGACTTATTCATCTACTATTATAAGACAGTTCGTGTGCCCGTACACTGACGAATATCCATATACAATAAGTACTTTGGTCTAGATCCGAGGTTCCGAACCTTTTCCGTATCGACCCCATTCCAGAAACCGGCATCAGATCCCGACCCTTCAAAGTAAAAACGAAGTTTTACGTTTTAAAGTGTCAAAATCTCCATCAAAATCCAACCTTTTTGGTTTTTGAGTTTGTGTACCGCCATAATTCACCTTCGAAAATATTTTCAATGGAGGTCCTCCCCCGTGAGTTTTGCGAATTTTCACACACTATATCAATTTTCGAACAGTTTTCAGGGCTTCGCGACTCAAGCTTAGTTGGCGACCAAGAGGTTGGGAACCCAGGGTTTAGATAAAAATAATTAGCGAATTTTCAAACGAAAGACAGTATGTTTCTTATTATATCAATTATAGAGGTAATGGATTTTGTTTTCTATAATTTATTTCTAATAAAATTTATAAATTGAATGGAGTACATAGTCTTAGAGTTTCAGGGCATCTGATATTATTAATGGACGCTATCAACACAACACAGACAGACACCTGCGTACCAAGCACAATAGTGATACTGCTAGTTTCGTCGATAAACGCCTTTAGGGTACATTCCCAAATTTTATGTGGTTTCAGATATTTATAAAAATGAAATTGCTTGTGATGGTCTTGTAATATTCTTATAATTGTAAATAAAGAACTTTCCACGAATTAAAATCCAAAAATGTTTCAAAAGTCCATTTTATTCTGTCAAACCTAACAGTTTTATTTAATTTTACTTACCTTCAAAAGTTGACTGTACCTGTCCTTACTATAGTCTAAATAATCCGTGTGTATTCCTAATTCGCATGCGCACTTCTTGCCACATAAGAAAATAGTTGGTTATCGTCCTCGCCCGACCCGAGAAAACAGCCCGACCAGGTCCGATTTTTGGGGGATTTTTTATTTTCTCGTGCCGATTCTAAAAATTTTACATAAAAATCCAAGCAGAATTCTATGTAGAACTCACTGACGGAAAGTTTGACAACGAGCCGATAAAATCGACCATTTGTCAAAGTTATAGCTGGTGAGTATTTCGACATCAATCGTTCAAATAGATAGTGTGCACAATGTTTTTTTTTTAGATAAATCTATACAAGAGGCTTTGGTAAGGCTGATGATTGTAGATTATGTTGCCACTATCCCGTATCCAAAAATATTTCTGACAGCGATGACATGGTCACGTCACCAATTTCTGATTTTTTGCTAGTTGGAATGTATGTCATCTCTGACAATGGTTTTGATGATTTTTCTTCTTAAAAATACAACAAACTCATTCCTTTTTATATTTTTGACATTTTCATTGAATTTGTTCACTTAAATAGATAGAGCCTATGAAATCGTGCACGGAAATGCTGTCCCATGCACCTCTACACCAGAAGCAAGGACGATAACCAACTATTGTTTTATGTGGCCTTACTAAAACATGAACCCTTTAGTTTAAGTTGAGTGCATTTTGTCTATATAATGCTCAAAACTCACCGTGTAATTCAGCTTACATCATGATTCATACATTAACCAACAGGTACACTTACATATTATACATGTTAAATAATAAAATGAAATAAGAGCAGATGGTATGTTTATATAACATAATTATATAAAGGTACGGATTTACAGATCACATACAACGTATAATATATAAAATACACGTTGTTTATTGGTATTTGTGACAGTTAGAAGACTCTTTAAAAAAGCTTGTATATCTATCTATTTTTTTCTGTGTAAATGATTGAATCAGGGATTGTGTTTAATTTTAAATTCTTTGTTTTATTTAAATATCTACAAAAGTCGAATTTACTTGGGTTCAGACTTGGAAGTTGACATTTGTAAATATAATATTTTGCCAAATATATTTAATGGTTTGCAAAGAGCCACTGCGGATTGGTTATAAATTTCGTTGTGTCCACAATTCAATAATGAAAATATTTCATTTGATTTACCTAAGATACTTTGAATATATAACGACGTAGAAAAAAAGATTATTCAATTGTTTCAAGACAGGAGTACATTAGCTCGATGCTTTACACTGTACTCAAGAATATTTCATGGCGGTAGAGTAGAAAGGGGATGTGCTTATTATACCCCTAGTAGGAAATATGAAAAATTGAATTATTTCCAAGTAAATATATAGGCTTATATAAGAAAGGTTATGATATAAGAGGGTGTATAACCTGAGGTTGGTATTCTGTTTCTGCAGAAGTAGGAAAACTCTTTCAAACAATTCCTGGAATACGGCGAGGTGAACACGTTGGAATGAGACATCTTCAGAGACATCTTCATACTCCAGTTCCTAAAGTAAAAGAAGGCCCAACACTCCTGTCTCCTTGCATGACCAGGCGTATTCGAATCCGTTTCTTGGCTTGTCTTTTCTTAGGCCTACGTGTACGGATAATCCCACAGTTTTGTCAACGTTAATGAAGCAAATCTGCTTGCGACATTGTTTAAGTTGTCATGTAATGTGAGGATGTGGATATTACGATAGCCTGCGATGCGATCCAACATGTTTGCTCTCCCATGTCTTGTTCGTAACATACACAATCGTAGGGAAAATCGTGTTGTGTGAGACGTGATACTGGTAGCGAAGATTATGAACGGTGGCCCTATTTCCCTGAATTGCTTCAAAATTAACTTATTTTTAAATACTCTCATGTTACATTTAACCGAAGATAAGTTAAATTAAATGAAACTGGTAGGTTTGACAGTACAGATTCGAACTTCTACCGTTGATATTTTAATAATGAACTTTTGGAACCTTTTTTTTCTTTTTAATATGTGGTACGTGCTTTGTTTCCAATAATCAAAACATTACAAGATATGTGCTGTCAATATTATGCGTCATAAGAAACATGCTGTCTTTCGTTTGAAAATTCGCTTTTTTTTTGGGTCTGGACCAAAGTAATTATTGTATATGGATATTCGTCTTAGGGTGCGGGCACACGAACTGTCTTGGTCGCCGATATTTGTCGCCGACTCGAATCTTGAGTGAAATCTCTTTGTGATATTTGGAATAAATCTAAGCTACTGTTTAATTGGATAACATTATTTCCCGACGGCGCTTCCACAACAAGAATATCGACAGGATTTATCATATCAAATATACAATCGTTTCTAGTTAGACCCCTTAAGCAATCTAACCACGGCCAATGCAACCAAGCATTATTCTCTGTAGCATAGAGCTGCCATTATTTGCGTCTGGACTATTTGTGATTTGGTAAATTGGAAACCTAGAATCAATTATTTACAGTTAAATCATTTCAATGATATGGAAATAAATAACAACAGTAACACAATATATCTATAGCATATAACAAATACAGTGTGCTGTTTTGATAGAAAGTAGACGATGCCAGTCTGTAACGAGAGGAATGGCGACCACAGCCTCCGGTGGGATCCAAAGTCAGATTTTACGGATTGGAATGAACCCTTTATGATATGTCGAAATGCATTCGTCTGAGTTGCTTTTGTCAGAAAACACGTACCACGTCATCTACGTCAACTTTTATGTCATAGTGAATATTAATGAGGGGTAACTAGTCAATCATTCTCTCCTGCGTCATGGGGCATCGGTTGTAGACATTGAGCCTGTGAAGAGCACTAAAGGTTCGCTGCAGGAAGTGTACAAAGAAGTTTCAAAGGGGTGAATATATTCGGAAACAAGTTTCACATATTTTTAGGCTCTGAGCAGCTGACTTTGGCCATTCACCTGTTCGAAACTGGGCCTGGAAGCCGCGGTGGCTCAGTGAGTTAGACGCTTGCTCGCTCACCCGAAGGTCCAGGATTCAATCCAGGCATAGGGCAGTAATGCAGGTAAAAGTGACTGTTCATTAGTTCAATATTCATGCTAGTTAAAAAACTTGACCAATGAACGTACAAGTTTGATGAAAGGGGCGCAACTCCTTCAGAACACGCTTCGACATCAACATGCGTTGAACAGTCAAAATAGAAAAGCATGTAAACGGACGTGAGTGCTTCCATATGTTCGAATGCGAGATGCGAGATGCGAGATGCGATATGTCACGAGATTGCGATTGGCTGCGATTGGGAGAATCCAGAATTTCTCTGTTCCACCTGAAGTATTGCTAGAATTTCTCCCCAGCCTATTGTAGCTCTTTACCAGATTATGGCATGGTCCTTTTTGTAGCTGCCTTTTCATGAGTTGCGTCCCTTCCATCAAATTCGTAAGTCGGCGAAGATGACCAATTTTCAAAGTCATGTGCTTGTCAGGAATATATTTAACCTTTTGAAACTTCACCCCTTAGGGGTGGGGGCCTGTGGACTTGGTTCAACAGCCCCAATGGTAGTTTAGCCACTGAGCAAAGTAAGCAAACACACTCGACCGAGAAGGCAACAACGAGGATATTCTTCAGTACGAAGTTAAGAGGGAGCGGCGGCCTAATAGGCATTAAATCACCCAAATGAATGTATCAAGGACCAATATAGAGGTTAGAATTGGTGATCTGATTTTTATTAACAAAATGGAATGTTCACATATAACAAAACAACAACAAAAACAAATGATAACAATAATTAATACAAATATCAGGTAAAATACTATCAAAAATATTCGCTGAATTTATGTTCTATAGGCAGGTAAAGCAGGGAACATTATATGAATACATATCATTAACTATGCGCCATCATACGATTAAACCGAATGATGCTCTGAAATCAAAACGCAATTTAAGTATTCTCTCATTAAATTTGAGCAAAATAATTTTTTGGCGACTTCGTTAACCATACAACTCCAAATCGAATGCGCACCAGCCTATAATACGCATTTTGGAACTGATACTAAAATTTTTAGTCTAAAATAGGACGCTATTTGAAACACAAGACGCTCATTTTATACATTTGTTAGATTTGAATAGTTTCTTAACGCTTCCCCAAAGTGTTCTCTTTTTATGCATACCCAGTGCTGATATAGCCGCCAATCGGAATACTTCTTGAAGACCACCGTCCATTAAAGCGGAGCACTCCACATAAGCATCAGCATGGACTTTTCGTGATAACTTTTTAGCTTTGATATATGAAATATATTCCGATTTGTCATCTTCCTGTTCTCTAAGATCTTGTTTGGTACCGACGAGAATTAAAGGGGTTCCTGGTTTAAATTCTTTGAGTTCTGGCAACCATCTTGTTTTTACGTTAATAAATGAGTCCGGATCCACTAAAGAGAAACACACAATAAACACATCCGTATCATAATAAGACAATGTCCGTAATCTATCATAGGTTTCCTGTAATGAAAAATAGTAATTAGATTAAAACGATGAATAATCAACAATTGTCTGGGATTATGAATCAAGGAACTTTTTGGTTTTTCTTCAACTTTCACTTTCCAATTTTCTTAAGGGAAATACAATCGTGATTTCCAAACATGCCAAACTCTAGATAGATCGAAATCAATATTCAATAGGTTGCCATGACGGATAATAATAAAAGCGCCAGATCGGAGCAATTATTCCGGAGGGCCGGGCTATCTTCCAAAAAAACAGAAAACTTTTCAGTGGAATTTAGAAAGTTTTCGATAAAGTAGGCTACACTGTCCGCTATTATATAAGAAATTCTTATTTTGTCAAAAACCATAAAATGGTTCGAAGTGATTAAATTTGGTTTAGGATCAAAGGATAATTAGTAATTTGAGGTCAAAGGGAAGATTTATTTATTTGTTATTTTCATTAATAATGTCACCAACCTGTCCTGCTGTATCAATCAAATTTAGATTAATCTGACTTCCTTCAACATCAACTAAAGCTGAAATATACAAAAATACACACAAATCAAATATTTTCAGCATCTTAGTATATTCTTTTACAAACAAACTTTTAAAGGGATTGCAAAGAGGTTTATGTGTATGTGATCTGGGGCAAAAGCTGTTCTCGATATATAGGGACCCTTTCATAAAACGCATAAAACCACATATCGATTATTGAAATGGTGCAATCAGTGTGCCGTCTACACTTCAAATTTTTAGAAAAAATGTTTACAATCCTTTAAAGAATAAATCGTTTACAAAAAATACGCAACACATAGCAAACCATGTCAATTTACTCCGTTGAATGCAATCAAATTTCTACTAGTTTATGGTGGCCTGTGAGGCTATGTTAGTTTTTGATAATGACCAGATGGTCTCCGAATTCCGTTACATGCAGGGTTGGCAAGTTTTGTCTAGAGCGGTTTTAACAGGCCAGTTTTAACCGGTTAAGACTTTAGACTTTCGCTTTTGGCGGTTTAAACCGGTTGAAACCCTTGTGCCAACATTTCTTCGAATTCCACTTTGGACTGTCCCTTTAAGAAACCACTTTGTATATAATAGGTCACGCCTATAAGGCTTAATAAATTATTTCCGGTTGGTGAAAAATTAGATCTGTTTATGTATTAATGTTTCAATCCTGAACTTTGGACTCCTTGTGACAAATTGAGGGAAGTTAAAACTAAAACTCTACTTTGGAGTTTTTGAAATTATTTCCTTAAACACATAAAAATGTGTTGTAAATTTGATGTCGGAGTCTTAAAACAGAATTTTTCTTATCATTAAAAAGAAAAGGAAACCCCATCTTCACAATGTCAAGCTATAACGAGCTTCGTCTTATACCTTGACTATAATAGTCACATTCCTTGTATCACGGAATGCAGATTGTATACCTTAGAGAATACAGCCAATCAGACTGAAAGACTGTTAACATGGCTTATTGTTTGCAGATTTTTTATAGAAGACTCTAATTGGCTGTATTCGTAAAGCTTGGCATTGTGAAGATGTGTAGCCCTGCGACTAGGTACAGAGCTGCTATTCGTTTCTAACATATAGGCTATGCAGAGCAATGATTTTGATATATCTTTTATGAAAAGTGTAAAACAATACCCCTCTCGCAACGTTCTGAAATCATCTACTCTACCCTAGGTTGTGATACGATATCGAACATGGCGCCTAATCACTCCTACGCCCTGATAGCATTATCTATGTCACTTTCACAGAAACAGTAAATCTTATGAAAATATTAAGATATATAGTGAAACAGTTCTAAACCGCCAGTCCACCTTTAAAATAGTATGTCTTAAATTATTAAGAAATACCGTGAAAACCTTTTAATCCGGCATTCCATTTTCAAAGAAACAGAAAAGCTTATGAATCAAAATATTAGGATGTTCAATGAAACCCTTCAAACCGACAGTCCACCTTTAAAGTAGCAAATCTTAATTCTTTAATTATCAAGATAAATAGTGAAGCCCTTCTGAATCGGCAGTCCACCTTTGAAATCTTATGTCTTAAATCATTAAGATATACAGCGTAACCCTTCTAATCCGGCATTCCATTTTCAAAGAAACAGAAAAGCTTATGAATCAAAGTATTAGGATGTACAATGAAATCCTTCAAACCGACAGTCCACCTTTAAAATAGCAAATTTTATGTCTGAAAATATTAAGATATACAGTGAATATCTTATATTTTAAACTTTCAAAGAAACCACATTTCTTATGGATCCAATTATCAAGATGTACAATGAAATACTTCTAAATTGGCAGATCACCTTTAAAATGGGTAATATTATGAATCAAAATATTAATATATTCATCTTTGTAATTTGAATAATAGGGATTTGAAAATAAGGATAGTCGCCTTTAAAAATGTTATTCATTAATACCAACAATGGACGTGACCATAATGTGAAGGTGTGTTTTATTTGCAATCCCCTTATACGAGATTACCGTGTGACTAATTTCTGCACAACAGCAATATACTGCCCAAATTATCGAAAACTCGATGCTTTCTTTCAATGAAACTCGAAAAGTCGAATGCGATTGATCAAATTGCTTGAACGTATTATGAGAAAATGCATCACAATTTGAGAACTGTCTCTTTTACACTTTATACTTCAATTCGTCTCCTTTTGGCGCAGCATTTATGAATTGCTCATTAATGCTACTTTTGAGTTCTTTCACTCATATTTGGTTCGATTTGACCACAACTCCGCTTCGTTTTGACAAAAATTGCCGGGTTTTATTTGCTATTTGTCCTAATTGACTATAACTCATTATAAAGGAATATCTTTACGATCTGGAATGGGCCCAGATATTCTGTTCCTTAGTTGTCATTTTCATTTTCTATTGCAGTTTTCGTAACTTCGCGCACTTCTTTAAGTCGTTCTTCTGTATCCATTTTTTACGTGACAATGGTTTGGACTACATTTTGTCATTTGACACAGGTCTATCAATTTAAACATTTTTAGCTGTCATTTAATGTGACACTGTCGTTATATTTTATAAAGACTTTTAAAAAGGATGATTACGAAGTGTAGCATTCCATACCCTCAACTATTTCAACATTTCAAATATTCTGGGCACAGAGCCAAATCTGTTATCTGAAACCCTGTGTCGTTAGAGTCGTGAGGGGTGAGGCAGATTTGAATTTAAATGTGATACGAGTATCGTGTCCTTTGCATATACATAAAACAAACAAGGTTAAAGACTTTCACCTTGTCTCATACCTATTTTAGGATAGTCGTTATCACTTTTAACATGGAGTTTTATAATGATAACTTTTGGTTGAATACCTTAGCTTTAATCCGGTTGTCTTTGAAAATCATGGATAACTTTTAATATAGAAGTTTATTGTGGTAAACTTAACAATAATGAAATTTACAAATTGGCATTCAATTGTAGGACGAATTTCACGTTTTATTCAGTGCCAAACTGTAGAATGTTATCAAAACTATTGGACGTTATTTGATGCCGTATCTTATCATTGTTTTTGAAACTTCAAACTATCATTGTGTCAAATTCCAAATATATCTTTCCGTTTTGCAAGAGAATCTGTTAAAAAATTATTGCATGTCGCCTCAAAGGTGTTTTTTACTTGTGTAATGCTGAAATTACTTGTGTAAGGCTATTATACAAACATGACTGTGTACGACCTTTTAACCTACACTATACGATTAACACTATTAAATCTTCCTGATTTTAATCATGCATGAAAAATACTTGATCCTGATTTGAATCAATAGACATTATTATGTCATTCTCGTTGACCTGTTATATTGAGAGAGAAAATCTTTTTATTATTACATCATTAAAAACATATTTGTCATATTTTGTCAACAGGGGATATGGAGCACAAAAATGAATCGACAACAAAGGAACGGAATCAATTTTTGAATAATAGTATTTTCAATTGTTATTTTGAGTTATATTTCGTAAAGTTGAGTTCGCACAGCTTTAAATTGATACTATGTTCGTATACAATTGCATTTAACTTATATGGAACATTGTTACATTTACTAATGTTTGCACACTGTTAGTTATATATTGTTACATTGAATAGCATTTCGGTCGTACACTGTTACATTTACTTAATGTCGTTCACTGTTACCTTGAGTTATAATTACATTCACTTATATATGGAACATTGTTACATTTACTTATGTTTGCACGCTGTTTGTTACATTTTGTTACATTGAATAGCATTTCAGTCGTACACTGTTAAATTTACTTAATTTAGTAATACCAAGTTACATTCCTTTCATTTAGTAATGTTTCGTACATAAATACAATTCGTTTTGTTTCGTACACTACATTAAAGTTAAACTCAGGAATCCGAAATATGGACATATAATGACAATCAAACGAGTTGATCAAGTGAATATTTTTGATAGCCTAAATATTTACTTCACGGAAAGTACGAAGATACATAATTTATTTTAAAAAAAACTAAATGTCCAGATTGACGACGTTTTTTATTTTAAATGAGCCGAACCTACGTAAACACAATTATGGAGTGACGTGAATGCAAATGTTTTGTTTACACCCAATTTCATTAGCTTTAGGGCGCAGTAGTCGTAATTTGAATATTGTAATTTTGGTCATGAAATGTAAGATAAAAAAAAGAGAACAGAATTGTCGAAGGCTATGTCTTTAATTGGACATCGGAGGTAAAAACTTAAATTAACTGTCAATCGTTTGATGTATGTTAGTTTCCAGTACTGATCATGTATGGTTCGTGGTTCTAGTTAGGGCTGTTCACATGATGTTTTATGTGCCAGACTTTGTCCATGTGATTGGCTCTGCAACATCAATGCAATGTTTGATTCATGTCTTGACTATTTGTCACAAGCTAAAACACATATCCTGCATCAAAACTGAACATTATCGTTGAAATAATGAAAACAGATCCACTCTATGTATTCTAATATTTGGTTCCGTGAAGATTCCTCAGGATTTACTGTGTATATGCGATTTGATTCTTTTCGATCAGTTGAAATTAAATACGCCAAAATATCATGCATGTGAACCCTCTAACAGGGATGTCCTCTTGACAAACCTAGTCGCAGAAAGGCATTAGGTTTTCCAGAGGCGCCAAAATCAGCATAAATATAAAAGTTTCTTACCATTATAGTTATCGAAACAAGTTGGTAAATAACCATCCAGAAATTTACCGTTAACATATTTTAACAACATACTAGTCTTCCCCACCCCTCCGTCTCCAACAACCACACATTTTAACGCTTCATTTTTTTGCTCCATAGCTATAATCGTCATCTTGACACTTTCGCTATCTTTTTACCCACTGACAATTCAAACTTGAAATTTCGTCTGCTCTCAAAACCCATGTGATTCATAAGTAGTAGATTTCATTGTGACGTCACGATTAATTGGTAAGTTTCAATTTTTAGACGATGACAGTCAAGTCTCTTTGTTAGTTGTGTCAATGAATGGCAATTAAGCTAAATATAGGTCTAGATAATCGAGAAATAGATCTGTACTCGATCGTTTTTGTGGTATTTAAACGTCAAAAATTATTTATATACATTACTTGGCTTAAGCCCTTATGAGGGCAATAACACCTATATCCTATTTGCTATTATGACCAACGGTTCATTTTGAATTATATAAATCTTTCTTAGGGAACGATTGAACCATTGAAGGGAGTTGGCTATTAGTCAATACAACAAATATAGCAATGGTGAATTATATTTTTTCTAGAGTTTTCTTCCGTATGAAGAAAGGAAACGTCCTGCAATTCAAGAAAACTTTACATTGCCACGATCCCGGAAAATTCGCTGTGGTATACTATGTTGTTTGTTTGCTGTGTCTTTGAATAAAATCAAAAAGATATATAGATTTTGATATGTTTTTGGCATCTCAAAATTGAGTAAAAATCTGAGCCCCAGCACCATTCATTCCTGTCGACGGACCTGGCTGTACCACCCTGACAAAGATCTCCATTCCGTTTTACAATTGAAGATTCGAGTTCATTTGTCCAGTGAAAAATTGCAAGAGGTTTGCCTTGATAATTACAGTACAGCGATGGAATTGAAAACAAAAAAAAAATTGTTGTCATCGACGGAGGCAGGGGATTTGAAATAATGCGAAAAACAATATAGAGTAAGAGTAAGAGCGAAAACGAGTAATAGAGAGAAAACGAATAATAGAGCGGACACGAGTAATAGAGCGAAAACGAATGAGCGAAAACCAGTAATAGAGCGAAAAAGATCATAACAACGGAACAAAAAACTTAAGTATCTTTTTGTGTTAACAAAGTTTTTAAAAGTTACATATGAACAAGTTGAAGGATCAGAAGAAATAGGTTTTTCTTTTTTATCTTACTCAAAACAAATTGATTTCAATATACAAGGGACGTAACTCCTAAAACCACGCTGTCCTATTCATGGTGAAAATTGTCTGCTTCCGTACTCCATTACGTTTGATACTGATAGGCTTGGTAAGCATTAGACGAACTAATTTGAGCTTATCTGCAATCTGCTTACGAGATATGGAGAACGTCCTATGCGCTGTGTCCTTTTGAGATGTCAGCGATGGCGATATCAATTCAATAAGTGTATATTCGAGCTGTGCCTTGCCCACGAAAACTACTAACATCATATGGTGAGTATTTTACGGTAATGAATCGCATATAGGTGACAATACCAAAATTTCAAAAAAAATGTTTTTTTATCAAAAAAATCTAAATTTGATTCTCTGTCTGTTGAATAAAAGATCATTGTCCTATTCCGTTTGAAAACACCCTTTAAATGCTCTAAATCATATATGCACCAAGGCCTAATAATGGTAATAAGTCACACATATCACATTTATGCACCAAACAGTTAACTATTTTTATCATCTAAAAATAGTATTTGTGGACTTATACTTTTTATGCACAAAGGATTTAATAGAATATTCTAGAATTTGCCTTACCTGTCATGTAATTGAGAAAATTTCCATTGTAGATTTATTTGTTTGTGTTAGTTTTTAATTCTGTTCGAAATAAATAAAATCAAACTAATGAATATTAATGTTAAATCCGAAAAGATGAAAACAAAATTGGTGCATATATATAATAAGTCCATTTATGCTAATTATTTCCATATTTTGTGTATTTATCCAATTTTAGTTCATTTGTGTGTGTTAGTATCACACTACGGTATAATGTCCGAAAATTTCTACCAATCATCATTCAAAGTAATATTTTGGTACACATTCAAAAAATTGAGTTTTCTCGAAAACATGATTTTGGACTTATCACATTTATGTTCTAACCCCTCGATATACCAATGTCCACTTGAAAACTCCTGACATCATACGTGAAGCTCTGTACGGTTTACACACATTCAGTTTACATTCAGTTTACAATGCCGTATCTATAATCGTATATTTGAGATATACCAGCGTTCAATTGAACTGCTTATTTCATACGAAAAGCGTCCAATGCCCCAATTGGGATACTGATTCTGAACGATGCGCCCTGTCCATCGCACAATTAAATGTCGACACGTTATATCAACAGGCTAAGCATTCTATTAAAAACTGTTCATATGACCCTGATACGAAAAGCGTCCAAAGGGCCATTCTTACCCGCACACAGATGGCGATGTCAAATCATTTTAGTCTCTGATTGAAGACTAATGACAGGAAACAATGAGCGCACAGCGAGATGAAAGGTACCGAATCGCATAAATTTTTAGATGTGATACCGTTCAATGCGATCTGGTTTCTAAAACGCACAATTAGAAGGCGGCACAAATATTAACAAAATGCTAATTTTGAGATGTGACAGCGTCCCATTTAAAACTTTTGGAAATGGGAAAAGTTTATTGAGTAAAGGTACACTTACAGCATACCGATCACCAGTTGTGTATGCGAACGCAACTCACAGTGGCATAATAGTTGCGTTCGAAACTTATGACCGCTATTCTTATTCATAACCATACGCAACTGGAGATCACTATGTTGTGCGGCCCAATTTAGTATTCTTCTGAATTGCTGTGCCCAAAAGCGTATACAGAAGACTTGACATTGTGCCATGCGTTATCATAGTTCATATTCGCATGATATTCAAATCTGACATGTGACAGCGTCCAATTAAAAACCTTTTGACTTGTGACACCTAAGGACTCCGGGTCACATGATTAAGGTATTTCTCACACTTATCTATATGTCATTGATTCATGGGTTAATGACAGTACGCGACATCAGTTCACCAGTGCGGTTGTAGCTATCCATTTTAATTGATGGAAGGGGACTTATTGGTAGACATATTGATAAAACACATTAAAATTTAAAAATTTAAATGTTAACTATATTATCCTGTCAATTTAAAATCATCTGATTCGTAAAATCAATCAGTTTTCAAAATATTTTCGCGAAATATTTTTGCCTTAGTAAATCTAAAAAAACTAAGTCGAAAAAGTTGTCTGAGTGGAAAGCCTATTTCCAAAGTGTTTGGTTAATGTTTTCTTTTTTTGGGAGGGGGGGGGGGGGTGGAAGAAAGTTTATCAATACTTTAAGAGATTCTGTCTCATGAACATCCAATTTAGATTTTCAAACTTGACCAACAAGAAAATATATTCATCTTTGTACCTACAGTGTCATAACTTTACAACAGAATTTCTATTAAATCCGACTAAACCACACGAATAAGTAATAATAAGTAATTATCCCAAAAACTACGTAATTACATGTATTAAAAAACACTTATAAGCTTTTTTCATTAATTGCGTTGTTTTATGGATTTATCGAACTATAGAGATATTTTGTTGTATATCAATGACATTAGGTAAGTCCAATGATGAAAATAAACTCTTATTGGACAAGTTTAAATTTTTACGTTCATTTTAAGAGAAAACATTTCTTTAAATTTAAAAGAGGTTATAAATTCATGCCATTTCATTTCAATTACATTACAACGTGACTTTTTAAGATATTTTTTAGTTTGGCCGAGCTCTCCAAGTCCATGGACTTGACAATTGACATTAAAATTCTTGTCCAATAGTTGTACTATTTGTTTTACTGGTTTTTATACCCAGGCATTTTAGAGAATGTCATCGAATGATAGCACCAACCAAAAGGTTAGAAATTGTCCTCTACTCATGTCATTTCCAGGAATCATGATGTTGACCTGGTACCAACCAGGAAGTACGGAAGTGCCAATTGAACTTGTTTCATATCAGTATTTATATTGTGACTTCCTCGTGAGCTAAATTGATTATGAGATAACAAGTGTAATAAATATCATATTGTATTTGATATTTTCTCTATTCCTAGAATACCACTTATAGATATCATAACATATCGTTCAGAGAAAACGCAAGATTATTATGAAGGGAAATCGGAAATGATTTGAATGGTGCGCCTTACTCTGCAGTATTTATTCAGTAATTGAAGGCCAGCTACGATATGCATTTGTCTTTCAATTAGTCTTACCTTCTTCCCGTACAAATCTATTTTGTTTCACCTCTTTCCCCATAACATTCATAATGGTTCTCCATCTCCTTCCTCCCAATTTGCTTAATTCTCTCTTCGTGTTAATTTCTTTTGCTAACCCTGAATCCATTACAAATTAATGTTACCTTACCCCTCCCCCTCCCCCCCAGGTACAAAATTGGTTTGCTTTACCCCCCAGATACAAATTTGTTTTGCTTTACCCCCCAGTACAAATTTTGTTTTGCTTTACCTCCCTAGTAGAAATTAATGTTGCTTTTTCCCCTCCCAAATTCGTATTCTTCTTACCCTTATCCAGCTTTAGTCCACATTCCAACAATACTCTCTATTAAACACACTTCGTGTGAGGTACCCCTCCTTCCTGTACAACTCTTGAATCCCCCTTCTTGTAGTACACATTCATATTTCCCCATAACACCGCTGCCCCTCCCACCCTATTGTCTGGTATGAAACTATACCTGACCTACATATATACGGAACTATTCAATATAGTCTAATCAATATCAATTAACTATGGTGATAGATCCTGTATATAGTTTCAGGAACTGTCCACAGAAGAATATTTTCATTGGACAACAAGGATGTTCGTGTTAGACATTACTAAAATTACTTGAATTCCCAGGAAATCTATATGACGTGGTACCTTTTCTCGTGAATTTATGTTTTGAAATGTTTTTTTTTTTTGCCACACTTTTGAGTAATCCAATACACTGCACACGAACTATATTATTTAAAGGGGATTGATATGTGTTTCGAGAAATGAAATGAAATGAATGGAGTTTTACGTCCTATTTTTTTGCACCATGTGGACTAATGAAGACGGGCAACGTCATGTAGGGTGCAATGAGGGAAATTTTGCCAGGACAGCGGCATTAGCCTGCTCTTTTTCGATTTCCAACTGTCGAGGGATCTTTAACGTGCACAGTCTGTAGCACACGGGGCCTCGGATGTGTTTCGAGGACATGATTAACTTCTAGTTGCACCATTCCGATTTTCCAGTCGACGTCTTTGGCATTGGAAATAATATCCAGGTTATGACATCAATACCGGAAATATTTGTGTCAAATGATATCAACGATAATGACGTCATGATATTGCAAAAATTTTTATATCAGTTTCCTTTTTGAAATTCATTTATGCATTTTTTTTTTTTCAAATTATAGTTGTAACAAAAATAAATCATAATTCCCTATTTTAAAATTGAGACATATTAGGCCTTACACTGGTTATGATATAATTCAGAAGTGATAATACTGTTCAGACGTGATAATAGAAGTCAGATGTGTCAATTCCATAAAGGAAGTGATAATAAGTATCGATATGTACCCGGAAATCGTTCCACAAACACCCGTTCCTGTTAATTTGACACTGTAACGTAACCATGGTTACATGCTAATCATTTTTGCACTTCCAGCCTTTTCAATAGCTGGCTTAACTAAATATTGATGAATTTTCGAACTTTTTTTTATACAGTGCAGTTTTATTACCAAGTCTCACATGGTGAAATGCAATGGTATATTCCATTATGTTTTCTTATACCTCATCAGGGCAATTTTAGCAGACCTTACTTGAGTACGTTATAAAAGGGCTACATCCTACTGTTCTGATTATGTATGTATTAATGAAGATGTGTGCATTGAGAGAATGTATTAGTCTTAATTTCTATATCATGAGGTATAACCCCCTCCCTCCCGCCTCCTCCGCGCAGTAGTATTCTACCGCTTTTAAAAAGCATAACGCACTTAAATGGTCTACGTTAACGTTTCGTATAGGTTCAGAGAAAAAAACAGAATGCCTCTTTTAGTTTCAAATGTATTTCAGTCGTGTCCGAGTCACCTCAGTGAACTCTTCACTGTTTGTGACAAATTTCAAATCAGGAAAGCTTTAATTATATCAAATAATGACATTTTTTATGTTGAAAGGTTTGACGTTTCCTTTTAAAACTGTAGACGATATTTCTTATAGTAAAAGTATGATTGCCTACAAATTTCCTATCGTAAGCTCAAATATTCAAATCGGCATAAGTGACATATGCCTGTGCCTCCCCCCTCCCGGGAATATTTTGTAGCCCCTGCTCGACCCCTTCACCTATTCTAAGAAACACTTTTAAGAAATATTTCTTGCCTAACGGTGTCAAAGTATTGAGCAATTATTTAGGAAAGTTAGTAGAAAATCAGGTTTCCCGACTACAATAAATGCATTTAAGATTGGCTTTCATGAATCAAGATATATTTCGAAGATACAACATATCTGTCTTTAATTTTAGCGCTCTGAAATTTGTAGATAATGCTCTAAAGTACAAGCTGTAATATATTGGTTTACAGGAAAAATGATACATTTTTTTTATTGGATGAAAAAATAAGATAGTTCCTTATTCAAATCTAAAAACCGGTGTTGTTTTAAACAGCTAATAAGTTTGTTATTGTCACTGAAGACATAAATAAATAATAGTTCCGCTTGAGTCAAAAAAAAAAGTGAATGTCTATTGTCTATTGGTCTGATATAATAGTAAACCAGCACGTATTCCGTTCAACTACGATTTATTTTCTTGAAACGAATTGTATTTTAGGCCCATGAATGAACTAAACCTGAAATTCAATAACATTTAATCTTATATGATAAGATAAATTTGCTTTTCAATAGTCATAAGGCCGGTCAGGTTTTCATATGACATCTTATCGTTCACAGGGAACGTCAGGTCATGGTTCAATTGAATATCGAAACAAAGATTAGCTATCATTAAGTTATAATTAGCACAACATTGCCTAATAATTAACTACTATAGGAAAAGCGGATATGAAATCTCGATATGTCATTCGTTAATGATTGACGATATCTCAAATCTGATTGGCTGTGAGTGATATGTCACGTGATCCAAGCCAGCTTCTGATCACAAGTTATTTATAGCTCAAAGTGTGATAGTTAGATTAAGCCGACTATAAGTATCCCGATATCCAGAAACAATGAACAATTGACTTTTTAACTGCTCTCAGCACACACGCCTCAACATATCTGATTAAAAATGAAATCGAATAGTGAGAGAAACGTTATCCATGCCATTGTACTTGGTGACGATATGGTTGGAAAAACTTGTATGGCTCATACCAAACTGAATTATAAATTCAACGAGGATTACATACCGACTATTTTTGAAAATTTTGAAAGTAAGTATTTAATTTTATATCATTTTAATTTAGCATTCATTTGATTCTGTTGACTGATCTGATATTTGAATTCTTCATTCAAACTAATGGAACTAAGTGAGCTAATTTGACTAATTTGATTTGCGTTGCATGTAATATCATTTGATTGCAATTTGAAATTAGTTTCTTTTAGAAATTTATACTTAGTTTTAACACTAATTGTAAAACGCATTACAAATGAACTATTGAAACTAATCAAATTGTCCTTTCTTTTATTTTAGTTAAACACAAAGTTGGCGATGAAGATTTCACCATTAGTTTATTCGATACAGCCGGATTACAACATCATAGAAATCTCCGATCATTTGTATATGGACGATGCCAAGTTATAATCATGTGTTATTCAGTCTGTGATAAGGATTCGTATCAAAACGTTGTGGACTATTGGATGCCTGAAGTGATAGCTGAAACCAGAGGACTTAAACCTATCATATTAGTCGGAATGCAAGCTGATACTAGAGGAATAGTTTTCCCTGAGTTGGAGGTCGATCAGGAGTTAGGACATAAACTTGCCAAGCAAATAGGAGCAGATAACTATTTAGAGTGTTCAGCCTTAACGAAGGAGGGTGTTAATTCGGTGTTCAATAACGTTGTGTATTCAGCATTGAAAATCAGAAAGAAAGGATCGTTTCTGAAACGTATTTTTGGACGGTGAACAATTAACCAAGAATTCCATTCAATAAACAGCTCTCCCAGAGAAAGGTCCCAAGGATACCATCCTGGTGTAACTAATGTTCTGACCAGAAAACTGTCATCGTCATCAAGTTGGATACGATGATGTCGTAAGCAAGTCCCTTATATAAATGATGAATTTGAAGATGCAGGTCTATTTGAAAGCGTACTGATAATGATGGTCTTATTTTGATGAATTGATAATATAATGAAATAGAACTGTTCTTAAAAGAGGATGGAAAACTCTAGTCCAGTGACGTGCCAGCTGTATTTCTAGTCACATATTTGTCTCATTTTAAGTATTAATGCTCATTTTCTACGTTGCGTCCGCCATTCCATAATTTTTATTTTGTTATATTTTCATGTTTATTGTCATCACGTAATGTAACTTCCGCCAACGACATTTATGTACGTCTGGTGGTTGTAAACAAGAATAGTTTACTGTATCTAAGAAGGTGTGTTCAGTGACAACTGGATGTATGCATTTCTCAAGTTATTTGCATGGTCCACTTTGTTAAATAGTAGACTGTCCTTATCCTGGACGTGCATAAATACCGTTGACCTATTATCTTGCTATTGCTATATTGTGATATATTTTTAATGTAATGGAGTTTTGAAATATAAATTGTCTTTCAATGTTTTGTGATAATAAATGATAATTTGTAATGATATGTAATTGTGATAGAATGTAATGGCGATGTAATTTATTAATGTATATGTAATTGTTGATACGTGCAATATGTATTTCCGGTTGTTATTATATTTTGTTATATTTTTTTTCAGGAAAATAGTGCTTTTATATTTGTAATAAAATTGTTGGTTCTTTAATAAATGTTTTTTTTCATTATGCGTGCTTTCTAATTTATGTACATATTGTGTTATGTAATTAGAACCGTGAGGCTGACTAAAAAAAACATGCTCTTGTATTCTCCTGCCAACTTTATGAAGTTTCCACTGTATCTGTACATTTATTAAGTTACCAAATACATGATATAGCTTACCTCGCATCTTTTAGTGTAGGCGAATAATCTACGCCATATCCCATCAAAATAACTTTCATAAAAGAGCCAAATTGGTATCTCGAACGAAAGATTCAATACAGCAGACGTTGTCGTGATATGAATGCTTGGCATATTTTCATGCTTTTACTTTTTTATACGTTCGATAACTGTAAGTTCATATATAGATTTTATCGATTCAACATTAGCATGTTCACAGAAAGCTTTATCGAGAAAAACAATTAAAACCCGTCTTCAAGTCTAATACCCTTCTGTCATTGCGTTAACAGCAGATAACTGTCTCCGATAAGCTAGAAATTGCTACTCCTGTCTCAGGATTATTAGAAGATTTTGTCTGGTACACAAAAGCTATTGTAATCTAATGACAGCTTTAATTAAACTGTTCTCGTGGTCCCTTTCAGATTCAAACACAACTATCAGTATTAGACAAAAAGGGGGCAAAAAAAGGAATAAATAGCGACTCCCCGAGGCAAGCAATGTACCCTTAAGCCAGTAAACAACGGAAGCTCCAAACTAACACTTAAATAACAACCGGTTTGTGTCATTATACAACCAAATAAACGATCAAAGACGACTTACTTAAACGTTGAAGGTTTAGCTTTGTAGTTTACTAGGCCCTAAATGTATTAATGAATAAGGCTTTGTTGAAAGACAATGAATACATTACATGGAGAAAACCGACAATGTGCTTTTTTAATTGGCCGTGGTTAATTGACCGATGGTCAGCTTGTTGAAAGCTATATAATGCATTGAGCATCATAATCTGCATTTCATACGTTTAAAAAACCTTTTCCATTGACATCTCTTCAAGAGAAATTGATTTGACTATCAAGGCTTGTTACCCCGAATCAAAATGCTATCAAAGAGCAGTAACAAAAAATTCGGTCGAGACAAATAATTTTGAGAGAAAAATTTTGGAAGAAAAAAATCGCCCACACTCCTAAATTCCGTAATACTTCCGGGGTCCTGTCGGCAACAGAAATGGCCACGCCACAGTCCCTAAGCATTCCTTAGTTACTATTCTATCTTGCTCTGAACAGAGGATGTAAAGACTCATGGGAGGTAATAAAAGATAATTCAACCAATGTAGACCACAATGAATTAGATATCGTGATGTTCTTGAAAAAGGTGAAAAGTCTCCTCAAATACCAATACATAATGATAATTTTTTTCAGTATTTCGTCAAGTCAGTGTCTCTATTTCCAGGCATACTACAGCTCTACCGTAAATAACATTATAACGTTATTAACTTCATTCCAATTCAATTTTCCATTGAGAATGTCATTAATCAAAATCTTTTGCGATGTATGTATAAGAATATAGAGAAATGTTTTTTATAAAAGTTGGTTTTAATAGCAATTTCTCTAAGAAGTGAAATCTAAATATTATGCTTTCACACACAAAGGTGTAAAGTTGTTTCTTTAAGGAATTAGATCCAAGGGTAGACAAATCTGTTTTTATAGTAATAGAAATCGTTTAATATCTTTGTTGAAACGTGCTGAAATTAAAGTAGCCGAAAGATTAACGAACTTTCTTATAAAAACATCATTTTTGATACGATTTTGAAGTTATTTAAATAATCCAGGGATTTAAGGCTTTATGTTTGAAACAACATTTTTTAACAATATTTTTTCAAAGAGGAACGCCTTATATTGTTAAAGTAAGAGACAATTATAATAATCAGAAGCCCTTGTAGTTTGTTTCAAATAAGATTAAGGTAGCCCTACAAACGTTTTCAGTACGAAAAGGGTGTCAATTTTTCCAAGAGTTGGGGATTAACTACAATTCATTTTAAAAATCTGAAGATTAACCAAGATCAAATTAAAACAATGAAATTTTTTGACAGAAAATCACTTTTTGTTCTAGAAAACAATTAAAGTTACAAAGTAGATAAACCTTATTAGATAGATCGTGATTTGATATAGACGTTGATTTCTGTATTTCCGAACAATGGCTACATAATAGACTCTTATCTTGACATTGATTGATGTTGACCGTGTGCCACAAGCCCCCTTCACTAGAGCCACGGGGTTCCAAAGTGAGCACTCCAAACCATTAGGGGGTTTCAGTAAGTATGCCTAATTTGTCATATTAGCCCATGTGAAGCTGTCACTCTGTCTTTTTAGCCTACGGCATGGTGATAATTAAATAGCGTTCCAAACGAATAAAACGCTTGAAATGAAATGCATTTGTTAGTAACTTTGTCAAAAAGTTTTGTGTTATCCACTGGTAGTATTAGTTTATTATGGCTGGACCATTTGTAAAGCCAGTTGTTTCGTTCGTAACTGGGCCACGTGTAGTATTAAATTATTCTTACTGATGTTTGTACCATGATACCATTACGGGCCACATATATTACAAGAGCATTGTTACTGGGCCACTGGTAGTACCAGATTAATATTACCGGTAATACCAGTTTGTTACAGGGCCATTGATAATTCCAACAAAATCCGCCAATCAAAATGCCTTCTTGAAGAACTCACATTTTTCTTTTTAATGTCGTCTGTATTCATCTTTTCATGATGTGAGTAGATCAGACAAAACGATACATTTATCTAACGGCTTGGCAATGTACCAATTGTCTAAGGATGAATTCAGTTTACTAAGTACTTTGAAAAGTTTTGCTATATTTAGTGAGTGTGTCGACTTCGAGAACATAAATTCAGGCTATTTTTTCAGATGGTGCACCAGTCTCTCAAGCCGTCAACCGACGTAATACGCCAGAAAACGTTACGCCGATTGATGTCAGCTGACGATTGCCAACAGACCTTACCAAGTGTAAACACACGAGCTCAAACACCTATTTTCAAGATTTGATGTTGTCTAATAGCTTCTTGTGATGAATTGAAACGCCGGCGTAAATAAGTCTTAAGTTCTGGAAAATGTTACGACGACTTGTGCCGTTATTCGGCGAGTAGGCTACTACTCGCTGACATGGATAGTATAAACCTATGCGCTGACGAACGCTGGCAAACGACGACCACGATCGTATGCTAGCGTGTTACGGCGCTAGAAGAATAAATCCACCTTAAGACAAATTCGTTTGCTACGTGACAAGTGTTTGTGTGTATGCAAATATCTCATAATTTCAGAGTGAAATTTCTTTATAAAGACAGCAGAAATTTCAATCATTATTGAATTAAAACACGTATCATATTTTTTTAATTCTAAAATATACAGAATAATGTTTTTTAAGCAACTAAATTGGTTTGTTCCTTCATGTTTGAATGTTGTACACCATTAATTTCAGCTCAAACTTTCTGTCATTCTCTTCTGGTCTCGTATCTACAAATATAAAAAAAATAGGTGTTAATATTTATCAAATAGTTAACCCTTGTCAATTTGGCATTCTTCGATGTTTAACGTTGTTTTTATATTGAAGTTTTGAATCATAACAGCAAAATTGGCTATTATCTAGGAAATTCAATACTGTTGTACGTTTCGTGAAAAAGCGTTTTTTTGAAAAAAGAAAGAATTTTGAACAATCTAGATCGGTTACCTATTTTAGACTATTTTTAACATGAAAAGTAATTTTGATATTTCTATGGTCTATAAAATGTAAGAATCTATGTGTAAGTGTGTTAGGGTTAGGTGTAGTGTTAGGATTAGTATATGTTGGAGGATGCAGATGAAGATGAAAACATTCAAAATAAATTCCTAGATTTTACAGACCACAGAAATTTAATGATGAAATATATTTCATTTAAAATCATAAATGTAACCATTCTAGATTGAAGTCGAAGCACAAATCTTAACACCAAATATAAATATGAATTTTCGAATTGGATAATTATGTGATAACTTCATTTGACCATTGATTCGATAATTGTTGTCTACCATAATATTCAATATGGAAGACAATTCTGGCCAAAAAACAAGAAATTTATCCGCGATTAAAATCATGTCGAAAATTTTCAAATTTGACCGCAGAATCAACAATTGCAGTCAACTGAAAACATCAAAGTGCAATTTAGAAATATCAAGTATCATAAATCAAACCCCAAAAACATTTTGATTCGAATATCGATTTACCAAAAAAAAAAAAAAAAAAAAATCAAGTCCTCAAGAGACTTTAAATTAGATTTCAAAACAATTTAGTTCTTTCCAAAACAGAAAGATTAACCACAGAATCATTTTGTGGTATAAAAGATAGATTCGTGAAATTTCAAAGGTATCAAAGTGAATTTTTTTCTATTATTGAAAGAAAAAGAACGCTTTACCAGACACTGGGTAAAGGTAAATCTATTGTGGTTATTTCTAACCACTGCAGTATCGTTAAGTTCACAGCCTGTAGAACACAAGCCGCATGTCATGGACAAAAACAAGGGTAAACAATATATGACAGTCTACTGCTATAAGTTTAACATTACAACGGAATAGACAAAGTATTACTGTCACTAGAAAATGTTTTTAAAAAAAGTATTTCTTTTTATGGATTTGTTTGACATTTTTAGTAATTTTCATTTAAAAATACAATAAAATTTTTTTAAGTTATTTCATACAGGAAATTATTTGTTTATTATTTTTAAGAATTTACTTATATCACATGACATATTTTTAGTAAACTTGATTTATAATAAACAAAAATAAGTCAATTTCAGAGTTAATTCACAAAGAATCTAAATAACATATCATTCTTTTATTTACTGATATTTGATTAAATGCAAATGTGGTAAAAGAAATGTATCGTATAGGTATATTTATCTTGAATATTCAGTTTATTAATAAACTAAAAAATACCATATTCATAGAAGTCAAACGTGAACGTCTATTCCTTAATTCAGTTACATTTCATCTGATCGAAATAAATTCAAAAGCTCAGTGGATT